GCCAGTCCTTGTGATTTTAATCAAGTATCTTACACGGTTGGTTTCTTTCCTAGGGTTCTTGCAGTTGCAGTATGATTACTGAGTTTTCTCTTCTCCTTTTCATATTGAGGCAATCTTTACTTGTGGGAGCTGTGAAAGAAATCATGAGAACAAGAAGCCCAGGGGCCCAAAATACCTATATGTAAATAAAGGTTAACACCACAGAGATTATTTTCAAAGCAATGCTTTGTTTTTCATCAAGAAAAGACTTGTACCTGACAACCTCAACGACAGAGAAAACCAGTCTCTCCACATGTGACTGAAACTGAATGCAACTGCTCCTTAGTATGTGGGCTCTTCTCCAGCCTCCCAGGCGCAAACACAGCCTGCTTAAATAGGAGGTCTGCGTGATGCCTTGTTCCTTCTGGTGCTTCACTCTCCACTTGCAGCTACCAGACCAGGGAAGTTATAGGTGTAAGGAAAAAGTCTGCTGGACTTCAGATCCTGCACCTTTTTTTGGAAAAGGCACCAGACCCAGAATGCCTAGCTGCTTGCACGGACAGGAGGCAGAACCACGGAGCTGTAGTAAACTGTCTTCAGGTTGCTGCATGAGGAGTTTTGCCCTTTAACAACGGACACATCTAGCTTCCCTCCATGCCTGTGAGATGCAAAAGCACTAAGGGGTTGGCTGGAATGGATATTCAGGGGTAAGGTGGGAACTGTTGCAGTATATAAGCAAGCGATTCATCAAAATTTGTTTTGTGATCTTCATTTTGGTTCTTGCAGAGAACAGTAAGAAAGTAGGAGGGGAATGAACAAAACAGCCAAATCCTGCAAGGAAAAGAGAAATTTAACTAGAGCAGCTTCAGGTCACGTTGGTCGGATGCTGAAGACCATAGACATAAACTGTCATAAGCTAGCAAAATGATGAGGCATAATTTGGGTCAGCCTGCATTACCATGACCCTCCTTAGAGCCCACACATAGTAACAACCACATCAGACAGCATCAAGTCCTGGCAACTAGACGGTGAAGAAGGCTGGAAGATAAAAATGTGACCTTCTGCTCTGGAGAGTAAGGACACATCCCATGCAATGATGGGAAGCCTATCCCTGAAAAAGATGGTTTACCAAGTAGTTCTTGACTGCCCTGTATGAAGTGTGGATTATTTTCAGGTTTTGCTTTATCCCCATCTTGGTAAAAGAAGAAATGAGTTTCCAGAATGAAGGCAAAAGGGGGAAGGGGTAGAAAACAATTCTTGATTGTGAAGCACAGCATATGCTAGTGTGAAGCTGAACAGCTTTCCATGAAACATATTCTAGCCAAGCTATTACTAACACCTGATACACGCATGGTCCCCCATCAGTTGCCTGCCAGCAGTGAGCAATGGACTCAATATTATCAATTTTGTTCCTTTCCCCTCTCCTTCTCTCCCACCAATTAATCATCTGTTAATCATGAGAAACAGTCCTCTACTTGGAAAATATCGGACAAACAAGGAGTTTTGCCAATAAAATGGAATATTATAGTAAATAATCTTAGAGGTGTCCTGAAATAAGGTGCAGCCATATTGTTATGCCATAGATTTTAAACACTGCCATTAAGTAAAATTTCTGGGAAAAGGTAAGCTGGCCAGGTCTGCCAGCTGATGCAGACAGGTCAGAAACACCATAACCAATAAATGATGAGATCAAGCTTCTTTGGTCTCACATCTATTAAGGCCCAGACAAGCTGGCTTGAAAGCAGCCACCTTTTCATTGTCCTGCCCTTTCCCCAGGCAGGACTAGCTGTGCAAAAAACAGTCCCTACAGGTGTCAGCCTGCCTTCAGAGGCCTCCCAGGAGAGGTTCCACAACACAAAATCCCCTCCCCAATCACTTTGGCAAATTTGTTCTAGTCAAAGTCTCATTTGCTATCATTCAAACTCTGGCCATATGGGTTTCTCCAGTCCTACATAACACAGAAAATACAATCTTGTTTTAACATAAATAAAGACTCATATCTTCATCAGTCTATCCAGTAGTCAAAATACCAGTTTCTTCAACCCTTATTTCTGGATTTATTTTATAGTCTTGTCACAATTCTTGCGCCTTCCATCTAGCATTAGCATAAACAAAGAGAGACAAGATATTCACATGTCCTCATATGAGGCCATGCAGTACCCTGAGGGCCATACATACTGATGAGAGTATATTACACAGTTAGAAATTTACTTTAGGAGGACCCTTTACTTTAGGAGGACACCCCAACCTGCCACACCCTTTGATTTCACCTGTTCAGTAGAGCAGCCCTAACATTTGACATGAAGGTTGTGATAGAAATCCCATGGCAAGATCTGAGATTACTTATATCCTTTTATGTGGATGCTGAGGTGACAAACAGACAAGGCAGCATGGTACAGATGGGGCATACTAAGAGGCTGAATCCAAGCTGTAGAATATGAAATTGAGCTCTAAACTCCTGCTCTTTTCCCCTGCTTTAGCACTATTAATTATTTATTATTTGGATAGACTTCTCATGCCCTGAATGAAAAAAATTCTCACCTTACAAAAAGCACCTCTACTTACCACAGTGTCTAATGATGTGCTGTCCAAATGGGAGCAGGACCTCGAGACCTAGGGCTGCTCTAATCCTCTATAAATCCCTAAGTTGAATAAGACTGAAATTCAGCAGCTTCTTCCCTAGTTTAAAAATTCAGCACACACAACAGGGAAGAAGGCAACCTACTAGGACACCTAATCTCATAGAAATAGGGACAGTAAGACTTACTGCTCTGTCTCCATGGAACAAATGCCCATGTGGCTTTCAGTATGGGCGACTAACAGGCAGTTTTCTGTTTGGCTGACAGCTGGAAGCAGAAAACCTACCCAAAACTGCAACAATACAACAGACCTCCTAAAAAATCCATGTCCTTTGGCAGCCTTGGATGAGGAATTTTCAAGCGTTAAGATGAGCTTTTGCAAGCACATGGGCATCAGGTGTCAGGACAAGTGTAGCATGTTCATTCATCAAAATTCAACCTGATTTACAGCATCTTAGCAGTTATTCAATTACACATTTTCTGTAAACACTGGAATTGTGTACCAAAGAAGGCTACAAAGTTAACAAAAGACTTGGCCCAACTTGGCACTGGACTTCCCAGCTATGATTTGTTAAGGCATTTCTTAGCAGAATGTATCATGTCTTCCTGATGCCTTCATTCTGGAAACTCATTTCTTCTTTTACCAAGATGAGGATAAAGCAAAACCTGAAAATAATCCACACTTTATACAGGGCAGTCAAGAACTACTTGGTAAACCATCTTTTTCAGGGATAGGCTTCCCATCATTGCATGGGATGTGTCCTTACTCTCCAGAGCAGAAGGTCACATTTTTATCTTCCAGCCTTCTTCACCATCTAGTTGCCAGGACTTGATGCTGTCTGATGTGGTTGTTACTATGTGTGGGCTCTAAGGAGGGTCATGGTAATGAGTTTAATGCAGGCTGACCCAAATTATGCCTCATCATTTTGCTAGCTTATGACAGTTTATGTCTATGGTCTTCAGCATCCAACCAACGTGACCTGAAGCTGCTCTAGTTAAATTTCTCTTTTCCTTGCAGGATTTGGCTGTTTTGTTCATTCCCCTCCTACTTTCTTACTGTTCTCTGCAAGAACCAAAATGAAGATCACAAAACAAATTTTGATGAATCGCTTGCTTATATACTGCAACAGTTCCCACCTTACCCCTGAATATCCATTCCAGCCAACCCCTTAGTGCTTTTGCATCTCACAGGCATGAATTAAGAAAATCTCAGGACTGCAGCACAGAGAAGGAACATCCAGTTCTTCCAAGCCCAATCTTCATCTTCCTATAAACTTACAGAGACTATTTTCTGTTTGCTTACATTCTCATACACCTGGCTTTATGCTTTTGTTTGCTTGAGGATTGTTATGTGAAGGTGCTATCTGATCATCTGTACTGGTTTATCAGCCTGAAACCTCAGTGCTCATGGATCTGATGGAAAGGGTTGGACTGCTAGGGAAGGACATCTGACGTACAATACGCTTCTGGGACTAAGATCTTAGAAACTTTGTAATCTTTATTTTGTTTGGCAATCATAAAGACGAAAACCACTGAGGTAACTCTAAACATCCTGACCACAGACACTACAACAAAAACAGATCACAACTGCAGAAAAGTTACTGCCTGTAGAATCCTAGGAGACAAGAGGGCTAATGTGTATGTCTCAAAAAGTGATAGCCAGATGGAGCTATGGATTGTTGGTGACAACAGCCAGGAATTATTGGTAATAATACACTGAGAAAGAACAGGATATGGCTGGAGAAGAGGCCATAAGGAGGTAGAGCAACACATTTCTGGGACAAATGTCCTAGTTCTGGCTCCTGGAGATGAGCACAACACAGCAGAAGTGCAGGGATGAGGCTGAGAAGTGGGCATGGACTGTAAGAGGGGACTGAGACCACCAAAGATCCCCAAAGCCATCCCCAAACCATTTCCAGAAAAGTCTAGAGGAATGGACTGCACAGGGTTGCTAATTTGCATAGAAAGTGAGAAACTTATCTCCAAGGTGGGGACATTTATTTGTAAAAGGTATTCCAACCAAGCCCACATGTGTGGACATCCCCAGATGGATCAATGCTGGAGCTAGGACTGGTGACCTCTCTTTCCCTCTCTCCTTTCTTCTCTTTCTCCCGCTTTAATTAATTTCTCTCTTTCTCTCTCCCCTTTCACCTTACTCCTCTGTTCAAAACCCACTGCCATGTGTTCATAGAGGAGATAAGGTCCTAACTTATACCAATTTCCATGCCAAGTATGTAATTTACTAATAGAACTTTTTAAGTTTTTGTGGACCCTCTGACTTTTGTCATTCCTTTTGACCATGGGCACCTACAAATCTTGAGTACTCCCTTCCCCTCAAGGGTGGGACACCACACTTACAACTTTAATGCATGGAAGTGGAAAAAGGGGAAATAAAACAATATTGCATCCAGATAGTCAATAAAATAAAATAATTCAAGAGAATCTCTTTAACAGTAATTTATTATCATTAAAAGTAACAATAAGTAGTTTTAAATTCTTTTGTCTTAAAAATCTAGTGTAACATACTGCTACAGTTCTATGAAACTTACGGCAAAATTGTATCCCCAAACCACACTGCTGTGCCTGATCCTCACAGACATCAATGGTGTGGCACACAAATAGCACAGAAATGGATCGCTCTATACAGCGATGATCACTAGGCCTCAAGATGCTACAAGTTATTTTGTAAGAGCTATTAAGTACAATTTTTGTTTTCCTCTCTGTTAATATTGCTAGAACAATCAAATATTTCACATAGCTTTTGGTGCCCATGTGGTCTTTTAAGAACTGTGTTTTATCCCCATACATCTTCATGCTATAGTTTTCCTTTTTAAAATTTTCCTCCCTTAGTGACATGCCTGCCCCACCACAGGAGACAAAACCACAGCAATGTTTGCAGTCACTCTGCACACAGCATCACATGTTTCCTTCACATTCTGAAACCAGTGTTCAGCCCTAACCCTTACCTTTCACACTGCTGCCAGAACAACTAAGCAGCACACAGTTCAGGAATACTACATGCTCATATTTTAATCTCCAGCTTCTTGGGAGTTCTAGAGCTTAGGTTAAGCTCAAGCTAAGCACCCAAGACAGCTAACTTATAGCTATTTCAGATTTGTGGAAAGGAGCAGTGGCCAGACATTGCAGGGCAGATGCATCTTTGCATTACACAAAAAGGCCTGAACAAGCCATAATACTGTTTATCATTGGCTTGCAGGACCAAAAAAGAACAGCCACAGGCAAGCACGCATATTGCTGAAAAGAACAGTCATAATTCTGTCAAGCATTTAATGTGCTGAATTTAAGATTACAATGTTAGTCAATACTCAAAAGTAAGCAGAAGCCTCTGAGTGAAACCCTTCTGGCTATCAGAAATGTACTGAAGAAAAAGAACATGGGGAAACTTCATATAGTCTTTCAGATGTGGTTTGTGTATGATTTCAGATACACAGGATCCCCTTAGATGGGATAGGAAATTTCCACATGAACTTCACAGTAGTGCATGGAATTGGGAAATTCAAAGACAACCAATCAGTAAGCAGCTTCATGTGCATCTATATCCACTCTGGATTTAGAGAGTCATGGGAAAATTATAATCATAGGGTAAAAGTATGGATGAAGTAGTAGATCAACAAACTCCATGAAGAAACTCTAATTACTCTACAAGAGCAGTTCACACTCTTCTCTAAGCAGACCTACAACTTAAACTCCAGGAGAAAAGAGGGTGTTAAATTTACTCAATCAAAAAAGAATTTTGGGGTTTGTTTTCAGCTAGATTTCTTGAGAAAGAAAACCCCAAAACCAAAAACAACACTTACAGTAAAACTGTGAAATCCTGTCTTACGTAATATCCTAAACTACTGTCCTGCTTTGTAAATGCACCTAACAGCTTATGAATTTCTCATCCTTACTCAAAAACACCTTAAAGAGCTTTAACTGAGGTAGCCACTAAAACATCACCATACATTAGCAATGCCAACACAAGGTGAAAAGCTCAACCAAGATGCTCAAGAAAAGTCAGCTAGCATTGCTTCCAAAAATGTAATTTTCTCTCTCACTCTTTTCTTCCAAATCTTACTTTACTTCCCTTTTCTCTTCTTGCCCATCTCTAACAAACAGCAACAAAAAAAAGTTTAGCTTTCCAGTTCATTTGTAAAATGTCCTCGGATTTCCAAAATGAAATTTTCAAATGAAGAATAGGTGAATTTAGTTTTAAATTAATGTCATTTAGAACACTGACACTGAAGGACAATCTGCACTCTCAATGACTGACACCTGAGGTTTCAGCTCTATCATCTTCCTGCACATGCTTAAGTTCTAGAAGCTGTAGAAAGACACCTGCAAGGGGAAAACACAGAAGCAGTGAAAAGGTCCCTTTCATTTTAAGTCTCACCTTTCAAGTCTCACATATGTAAACACACAAAGAATCACCTATTAATTCACTGTCTTTCAAGTACTCAGGAGGTTAAATTGCAATTATCAGTCCTCTAGCTAAAAAGTACAATGATCTGTCATATCCTGGACCTTTATAGTCACAATCATTGCTCAAAATGAAAGCATTTTCAAATTACTTGTACAGCTATGGTAGCCTATGCTCAAATTCAACATAAAAAACAACCAGCTTTAAGGATAATTAATACTCTGGTATTCTTGAAAACACTTTCAAGAATTTTTTATGGTCCTTTATCACAGACTATTTTTCAAAGTAATTCAGAACCTCATCTATCAACGTCCAAATCAAACAACCAACCAACCAAGAAAACTTCAACTGAAAATCAGCCCAATATCTATGTTGTTTAGTACACATATATTGTAGAATGTACATTTGGGTAAACATCTACACTGTACACATACAAGTACATGTACTGTAAACATCCAGTTCTGATTTCTTTTTTTCAACCACTATTTGGAATTTGAGTGTCCTCTCCAATTGGCAGAATGTTTTAATGCATACATAGAAATGCAAAGTTGCATTTCAGCCATATTGCATTGACCCAAAGCAGCCCAAAACCTCTTGTTCTAAGATATATACTTGCCAAATGAAAAAGTCTGAAGAGAAAAACCATGCTCTTGCTTAAAAAAATAGAGCACTAATGAGTGTGACGTGCCTAATACTGGTTTCTCAGTGTAGAGCAGATACTGTGTATATATTCCCAAATATAAAAATAAAATGGTATAAATTGCATGCAACTGTACATAGTGCAGTTCAAGCAATATCAAGGTATTATCCTTATTTTCTGAAGCATGTGGACAACAGCAAACTGCAAGGTGATAATTGTAATGCGGTCCTTGGGTTTCTTCTTCCACAGAGACAAAAAAAAAGCAATTTTTATTTCAAAAAACTCTAGTCCACAACAGGGAGACATCAAACAATTTAACCATGATAACTGTACTGTGAAGAATTTCTGAATTTTCTTACACATCTAGATTATGCAAAGGGCTTATTGTTTGAAGTACTTTGCTAGAACTCCTTTTTCACAAACCACAACACACCAAAGAAAGTGTTTCCTGCTTTCATTACACTCAGTTGTTAATCAGGTGGAAGTAGACGAAGGTGGTTTATTACAACATTATAAAACTAACCTCATCCTTATGAAGCATATGTAATGCACAAATTAAAGATTCCAGTTAAGCATCACCATATACTAACCCTTTATATTTGTATAACATAACCAGCTAAGAAATTGTTACTACTGAAATCATACACAGGCACATTGCTATATCATACTTACTTTATAGTTTTCTTTTTAAAACATTCCACAACTGACTTGGCTTTTAGGTCACTTTTGTTCATTTCATCTATTTAGACGCTGTGTTACCACTTCTCTGTACATGATAGAGATATATATCAGCAGCAGAAAAATGACAAAGAAATCATCCAAGAACCCCAGAATTCCAAACAGAGCTTCAGGAAGAAAATCCAGAGGTGAAGCCAGGTACAGCAAGGCTCCAATCAAGCAGAGGAATATCCTGATGCGAAACATCCAGAAGAGGCCCCCTACAGAAAACATCTCCCTGAAAGCATGTCGCAATAAAGTGGGGAGATCCATAATTCTTTCCATAATCTATAAAGAAAGAATTTAAAAGTTAGTATTTTGCTTTAGCAACTCATCCATGCTAAACTGAAGTTTCTCCTACTACATTACATCTTCGATTCTGTTAGTTTATAGGAATTAAAACAAAATCCGGGAAGAGTTAATGAGTTTAGTTTTACCAGGTAGAGAGGCATTAGAATATATACGTTTTCAAGAAACAGTTAAACTGTGTTATTCTACAATGAAAAGCATACACTTAATATACATTACGAGAAAATATACTGGCATCTATTATGAAGGAAAAGCAACGACTAATAGAGGTAAACAAATGACTGGGAAAGTAAGAAACAGCAAACAGGTTAACTGGAGTAAAATATTGATCAGAATGCAAGACAAACCAGGACTGCGAGAAAAAATCTAATAGGTAAAGTAGAATAGGTTACAGTTTTTCAGAAACACAATACCCCCTCTCCTGGTGTATAACCAGTGATTCACACAAGTTTCCAAAGGATGGATGAAGCTTCAAAGTAAACTAAAGAACCTTTAAATAAATCCATTCCTGCCTCCTTTCCATTTTGCTACTATGATTCTGCCAGCTTGGCAAGAGACTGCTCAAAAGAAAATATTCAGGTTTTTGTTGGGATGAGCAGGGAGGTGTGAAATTTAAAATTTCTTTTACACTGGCTCCCTTCTATGGTACACAGTTTCTACACAGAGCTGTTAAACTACATATAGACTGACTTAGTGCCACACCTGAAAAAGTTTTTGAGAAAGAAATTTTATATGTGGTGACATTGCATAAATCAAAGACAATTTATCTAGTCCAATTAGGGCTTTAATGCAGATTTCTGGCATGACCTCAGACAGGTTACTGGGGACTAGACACAGCTCGCAGAGAGGTCTAATGGAGCCTGAAAGGCAGTTTCAACCTCTTCTGGACAAAACCCATACACTATGTGGTTTAGAAAAATACTCCTCCCTCTTCTGTCTCTTTGTACTGTACATTTTTCTTTTAATGTCTTTTTGCTATATCCAAATCCCATTACAAATGAAGACAAGCAGGGAGGTTACTAGTACGCGTGTGTGTGCATTTCACCTTGCGAAACAGGACACGCACACAGGAGATGGGCTCACAAGGCTGACTTTCTAACATTTGTAGAACTTTGACCACCCCCCTTAGCTATTTATAGAAGAAAAAATTTTTTTTCCTTCACTCAAAAAGGAGAAAAAAGACTGTAATATAGACTAGGGAAAAAAAAATCAAGACAACATACAGCTGTCTGAGGAGAAAGGCACAGAGTAGAACTTCATATTCTTCTTTATAATCAGTGTAAAAAGACCAATGAAGTGAATATTCTTCCTTGCATGTCATTTATTTCATTAAGTATTTTTACTGACTAATTATAGATCCTTTCAAAATAATGACTCATATCTAAAAACCAACTTAACGCATAAATACTTGAGAAAACTCAAGACTTATTAGATTCTCACTTACAAGAAAAAAGTAAGTTTCCCTACATTTTCATAAATGACAAATATATAATTTTGGGTTTGGCCTAACCATTTCAATATGAATTTCCTAAAGAAAAGTTGCCTAGGCCCTAAGCATCAGGAAGAGAAAAGGAAAAAAAAGAAGGGGGGAAAAAACAAAATAAATTGCTCTCAAACTCTCCTGACACCATTGACTTCCACCTAAATTTACCCAAAACTTACCGATCTGGGCTGTCCTGAAAATCTTCGATTGTAATCATTAACATCTTGAAACACTTGGGCTGCACCCTGCTGATCTTCACCGAAGAGTGGTAAGAATAGTGTTACCTAGGCACAGCAGGGAGATTATGTTACACATGCAAATGTAAAACAGTCATCTTTAGTTAACTATATAAATGAAAAAAATTTTGGTTTAGTTGAATAGTTAATAGGAGAATAACCTGAAAATTACTAGCATGGGTACTGCTATTAGATTTTAACTAATTAATTCCTTACAGCTCCTTACAGAATATTAATTTTTAAAGAGATTGTTAAAAAAAAAAAGCAAAAAATAACCTGCCTTTTAAGAGAGGCTTCCTAAACACCTAAATGCTTTATGTTTCATAAGTGGGACAAATGATTTGGAGAACAAAGCTAATTTACCAAATTAATCTAATTTTCTTTTCTAAATTGGAAATAGAATAAAGCAATCAATGAGGCCTTTCTTTTCCTATTTTTAGGATTGCTTTGCATAACAACAAACATGCAGCAAAACTCATGGTTTCGCATATGGATCTTCATACCGAGATGAATTAAGAAAAAGATATTAACCTTCAACTATTTTGTATGGACAGAGAACTTTGCTCTGTTCTTGGGTTAACTTTCATGCAAACATAGAGAAACAAGATATATGTGAGTATGACCTTACTCACATATATGTTATCTTTCTACATAGTCGTTGCTGAGACTTCTATTTGGAAGCAATGTACAGGTAAAAAATGCAGATTATCAGGGGAAACAGGGAAGGCATAGTGCTTTAAATTATTATAGTCTTCAGAGGCTTCCTCTGTAACTGGCTACTAAATATAAATCTGTGTGGCAGTCACATTCAGAAACGAGAGCATGAGAAGATCTACATTCAACTTCTGGTCCTGTTGTATGACTCATGTTCATGTATACACCTTTCCCTTCACCATTTATAAATCAGGGTTAGAACGAATACATAACCATGCAAACAGTGCCACCTAATATACCTGTTACTCAGAGAAACATAAATGAAAATACATATAAGGAAAGACAATAAAGAAAATAACTTATTTTCCCCTTTTCCACACCTTCCCCACCTATTATTTGTGTCTTTTTCTTCACTGGCTACACTCTAAACCTATTCATTCTCCTTTCAGTAATATCTATTTTTTTTTCCTTCAACTGTCTTCTTACAGTCATTTGTCCTGCTGATACACACAATCAAAGTAGGATACAATGGAGGGACAAAGGCATGAGTTACATAATTCATTAGAAGTTACTAGCTCTGTAGTTTGTGCACTGTTAAAACAAAGATGTACCTTTGTTAAAACATACACTATGAGACTCAGAGATCCTAAGCCTTAATGAGTTGCAGGAACATATTTCAAACTGACAATGTAAGTAAGTTGCGTAGGAAGTAAGTTAGTGCTTGCTCTACAAAGAATAAATTAATAATACATACAAGTTAAAAATAAGACCAAAATAAGAAATTGACATGGATAGGTCTTTTGGTAGGGACAGAGGGAAGAGACAGCATATTTCTCAGGAACCAGTAGTGTGCAGCCAAGCCTTTCAGATGCAAATTCTGGTAAAAGAAGTTAATAACATCTTCAACAGAAAGCATGAAAGGATCATAGTTTAAATCTCACAATTTTCTGTTTTCATATAGTCTTTACAGAAAAATAGCTGAGTTATCAGCAACTGCAGAACGATCTGAACTTTTGGAGCCATCTGTCAAAGCAAGAAGTTCAGAAGAACTGAATGTCCACCATTCCCGTCTTACATATCCCTCTGTACTTTTTTGGTTTCTCAGACTTCTTTATCTGCCAGCCTCACTATTGCAGCTCACATGTAAGTGCCTTTTGGCAGGCTATCCTAGACAAAACTGACAGGTCGATGATGATTTAAAATATTACCGTCTGTCTGCAGATTGGACAGCGGATGGCACCCAGCCACGAGCCATACCTCCAGTAGGCAATAATGCAGGAACCTGGTGAAGGTAAGGTACACACACATTTAAACTCCTCAGACGAAAAACGCATCACCTGAAATAATACATTTAATGGCAAAGGAAACAACAAAAAAGTGTATATAAGCAGTTAGGTTAAATCTACAGTTTCTGATGTAATTTTGTGTACAGCATTCACTGAAGATACCAAGAACTAAAGTCTTCAAATTCAATGCTATTAATGAGAAAACTCCTGAATAGGTTTCACATGAATCAGTAATTTTAAGCCATTATTTCTGGGAAACACAACAAATTTTTATTCATTAAGTGAAGAAGCAAATAATAAAAAGTTTTGCCAGTTTAAAATGTAGAAGTCACAAAAATGTCAGTAGATGTAAAATCTATCCTAAAAACTTGGCTTTATCGTCATCAGTTTCAACAGATGAAGACAAATATAAAAATGTAAATATTTTATCTGTTTTCCAAACTTGTTTGCTTTTCATTTAAACAACTGGGCATGGTATATGCTATATACTTAAAAAAAAAAACAGATGGAAGAATTATACTGGGAACCTGAAGGAGAAGAAGCAAAATGCTACATAGGGTGTCAGTATATAAATATAGCCTCAACAAACCACAAAACCAAACACTTTAATCAATTTTGCACTTATAATTCTGCAGAACTTCCAAGAAAAAATATTTTGTGAAATAAAGAATATTTTATTATTTCTAAAACAGTTTTTAAAAAAATGGTACATTCCCAAATGTTCTTCAACATCTTGAGTTTTTTACTAAACTGGAAACAAATTATACTCTTTGACATTTTAAAATTAATCAGTTTCATTCCTGATAGTATAGAAAACAATGCTGCACACTCTTAAAGTAATTGTTTATTCCTAAATGTATTTTCTCAACTATTTATAAAAAAAATATTTATTTTGCAGATGCAATGATATACAGTTAAAAGGAAACAAAGTTTTGATTTAGGATGCCTGAGCTAGTGCCAAAAGTTTGTACTTCTGTTCTGTTTTTAACTTTGGTGCTAGGAGCTTTTCTTGCTTACCACAGAAGAGATGTCCACAGTTTGTTTCTATAGGAAACGTAGCCTGTTGCAAACAGACTGGACACGACATATCTGTATAGAAGCGATGCCGATCGCCAGCAGAAGCATCCTGCTGGAACAGCAGGAAAACACAAAGTGTTGGAGATACTATGTTATATAAGTACTGAGTTCCAAAAAATAATAAATTGGTGTTCATTCACTATAAGTCAAACACAGAACTATGTGAAATGAGAAATATATTTAAATGTAAAAATTAAATATAGTTAAATGCATTGATTCAATAAGCACGTTCTTGTGACAGGACCATTATTTTCCCTTCATCTGTTAAATAAGTGTGTGCTTCAAACCAGTTAAAGACCACAAAGAAGGAACCTCCTTGGTCCTTCACAATGAGTCAGGTTAGACACGCTAGAGCATGAATAACAAACTTGGATCTATACTGTTGCTTCATTATCCTGAGTAGTTCTGTCCAGAGCCAGGTAACCAAACTGCGTTGCTTACCAGTTGCAGCATTTAGTGTTTCCAAGCCCAAACACAGATATCAACTTGCATGTGTCACTGTCATGAAACCATTTTTCTCCCCATTTTGCCGTATTTGTCTTCCATATAAATATGCACTGTCATTATTTCAAGACATGTCATGATACAAGACTTTTCAATATTCTCCAAAAGTATGGCACAGACTCTACCTGTTCAACTGGATGCTGTCACAGAATCATTGAATGGTCAGAGCTGGAAGAGCCTTTAAAGATCACTAAGTTCCAACTGTCCTGCCATAAGTAGGGACATCTTCCACTGGACCAGGCTGCTCAGAGCCCCATCCAACCCTGCCTTGAACATTTCCAGGGATGAGGCATTCATAACTTCTCTGGGCAGCCTGTCCCCATTGCTTCACAGAAAAGAATTTCTTCCTTGCATCCCCCTAGCTTCTTTCAGTTTAAAACCACTACTCTCTGTCCTGTGACTAAAGGCTTTGCTAAAAAGTTCCTCTCTGTCAGTCTGTGCCTGGCTCCTGTTGCTGTGCCATTGTTCTGCTACACACTGCTTATCAGTCTAAACATCTACCCCTGTCCTCTCTCAGCAAACTGTACTCCAGATTTCCTTTCCTTTACCCTAAAGTTCCCAGGAACATTCCAGGAAGAACACAGCATAATCTAACATACTCCACCTTGTGGCAAAAGCTTATTTGAAAAAAGAACCAGCCAAAATTTAGTTTTAATTCCTTGATGCATCCATTAAAAAAGGGTACATTATCCCATTACTTGATGGATTTTAAGGATGCCTCTGTACAGTAAGTAAGCTCCCATAACTTTCAAGATCATCTTCTTCCAGAACCTCAGAGAAGACTGCAGCATCCCACATCAGAGAGCTGAATGATGCCGACGCTTGGTACAGCACCTGATCAGTCTGAAGCTGCTGACGAAGAGCTCGCACTAGCTCTTGATTTTCTGGGTGTATGTTCTGATGTTCATTTCTGTGAAAGGAAATACAAGCAATAAAAAGCCCTGTGATCCCACATTGAAAAATAACTCACTGAAACAAATATGAAACCTGAACAAAGGGCAAAAAAACATTATTTCCTGCTATAAAGGATTTTAAAGGAAGTACACAAATAATAAAGGAAACAGGAATTTATTCTGGATCCTAAAGTTACCTTGGACACCTAAAGCTGTACAGCAGCAGGATTTTTCAAAGACTCCACAACCAATCATTAATCATGTTAAAATTAGATTTTAATCTGAGAAAAAAATTAAGCTTTGAACCTAAAAAAATGAAGTAGCTTGAAAGCTTTTTAATTAAAGACGTGTTTTTGTCTCCATTGCTAGTTTCTTATTTGTTGGTCTACTCAACAAATTACTCAATAAATTACTAGTTTTTCACTCACTGCCTAAGTTACAGAGTTGGAACCTCCTAATTACTTCAATTTTATCTGCTACATGACATTTGCATAAGAAGGGGTAGACAAACTTACATTTAGAATATTGAATTTATGTAACTATCAGCAGACTGGATATAAAAAGAAACCACTCTTTTAAAATCACTCTTTTTTAAAAAAAGAAGATTCTACAGGCAGGCAAACTACAGGTTAGATATGCCAAGAGGAATCATTAGGAAGGGTCACACTGAAGAAGGAAGGATGGATATATTACAAATTTGAAATTCAAAAGCATAATGGGACAGATTTGAAATTAAAAATGTGCTGACAGCAATCAGAGGTGTTGAGCTACAATAAATATGAGTCAATAGCATATGAATTTTTATGCTTTATTAATTCATATGGATTTGAATGATGATACATTCTGCTGAGCACTCTTGACGTCTCAGCTGGATTCTGTTCACCATTTTGGGCTAAATGCATAGAAACACATAGAGAAGTTGGAGAAAGTTCAGAAGATAATAAGAACTACTGCCCACATTTTTATACATTAAAGAAAGACTTAAGAAATGTCAGTTTATATAGAAGACTGTTCATGGAGTAAAAAGGGGACAGAAAAAGTCTTTCATTCTAAAAATATGAGCAATTATTTCCCACAGTTATCTAAGGCTTGTAGAAACACATTTCTAACTATATAATGTACAAAATCAGACAAGATTACCTCAGGCTACTTTGATTCATCCCTGACTAAAAGTTAAATCAAAAAACAGGTTGCAATGCTTCCAGGGATATTGAGGTAAGCTGACCATGTGTCAGAGATGAGGGCTGGACTGGCTAAACTTTCAGGACATTTTCTGGTTGCAGTTATATTATATAATTTCCTCAATGGCTCTAGAAGCTTCTGCAATATTTTCCTTCAGGTAATGTGGGCTATCATAATATTGCATTATTGCTCAACTGTTTATTGTGTTATTGCTAAAATGTTTAACATTTTGTCTGCCTCATTCTTTTTTCAAAGAGAAATAGACAAGTCCCATATTTTTCATTATAATATTTACATGAGTATCTTTAAAAAGAAAGTTTATTTAATACTAATGTGGGTGACATATGAAAGTTATATGATAGAAAGCCTGTATGAAAACCCTGCTTATGCACCCTTGGTCTCCATGAATCAGATTTTGTGGATGTTGTCTGCCATACATATTATACGTATAGAAGTATTTTTCTGTTTAGATGCCACAAAATAAATGTATTTCACATCTTCAGCTTGCCAGAATGTCTGATATATATTGAAGTCCAATTTGATTCACACACAAGCGCAAGGCATGAACTGTAAGACAGTTTATTCTGATTTCTCCAAAAACAACTAAATTAGCAGTAGCAAATTTGCTACTGCAAGTGTTCATTTACATGACCTTACCCTGGTATAACATACTATGCCAAAATCATGAGAGCATTTGCAGAGCTGCAGGGGTACACCATGTACAGTCACTTATGCATAAGACAGTGATGTAGCTGAAAACCATGCAATGTTCAGGAAGGGACAGGCAGAGCTTAAGGCATATCAAATTTATAACTTCTGTCATGCAATTAGTGTAAGAAGATAACTGAAATAAATGAAAACCAATATGGTGCCATGTCATTAGAAGCATTATCAAACACAAGCCAGAAAGAAATAAAGTTAGATGCAAAGGCCTTTTATTTCCCTATTTCTGACAGCTAGCATGCCAAAACTTGAGGGAAAAGGTCCCATGATGTGGAAAGATTTGTATTATGTACCACAGAGGGCCCAGCCAAACTATGATTGGAAGGAAGAAGACTCATTCAGTGTGCAGTCTCACACAAGGAAATAGAGGGACAGTACTTAAGGGGACTGGCACATCACTGTGCAGTGATGGACACTGTTAAATTCTAAGGACTAAGATCTCACTTCTGCTGAAAATAGTGACTTGCTCCTATAATCAAACCATATGATGGATAGAAAAATTAGATTAAAAAATCTAAACCTGTAGGCCCATAAACATGGAACAGTTAAGTCATCTAGGTCAAATCCCTTGTAGGGAATTAAAGGATCAGGATTCCTTTAATTTGCTGAATACACTGAATTTTCACAATCTCATTTGTAATGTGACAACCTACTCACCAGTTTAAAAGATGATGGACAAAATCTGGCTTCATTTTATCAAAATTTATAACTCAAAAGCATACAGGCTTCACAAAAGTATCATATAGTGCCTGAACTACACATCTGCAACTTGTTACAAATGTTAATTATGGCTTTTAAGTTTCTCCGCAAGAAGCATGAATGAAGCCTTGATGTGATGCTTCATTGAGTTCTTTCACCTGGAAACAAGTACAACAATTATATCCCTTAACAGTTCTTTCCATATTCTGCTTCTGCCCCCTAAAATCTACTGCAACACATACTCCTTGCTGCTCATTCCCCTTTTGATTCAGCTCCTGCAGCTACTCATCACCTTGTAAGCTTTCCTTCCTATATACTTACCCATGACCTGCTCCTACCCAACTTAAGTATTTCAGTTCTGTTGATACAGAAGCATGAAAGGCAAGAAAAAACCTGGGGTAATGAACACCATATAAGCAACACAAAGACCACTGTACTGTCTAAGGTAACTAGAGAAGAAAAAGAAAATACTCTTTTTCTTCCTCACTTCACCCTCTCTGCTAAATAAATTAAAAGTACTATAATTTTTGTACTGTACAGATTTTCTATCATACTATGCAGATTTTGAGGGCAACAATACAAAGGAGATAGATGAAGAGTGCTCCTGAATAGAGACAATTTCAAAAGGTACCAGAAGGCAGAGCAGAGAGCTAAGAGGGAAAAGGTAAGTCTTTCAGTTGTCAGTCATAGAATCACAGTCACAGAATATGCTGAGTTGGAAGGGGCCCATCAGGATCACTGAGTTAAACTCCTGGTCCTACGTGGACTGCTCAAGACACATATGCACGAGAGTATTGCCCAAACACATCTTCAACTCTATCAGGCTGGTGCTGTGACTTCCCTGGGGAGCCTGCTCAACCTTCTGGTTGAAAAACTTTTTTCTGGTATCGTAACCTAAATCTCCTCCGACTCAGCTTCATGTGTTTCCTCAAGTCCTGTCACTGGCCACAAAACATACAATGCGGACCTCCAAAGTCTGGAAGCTTTGTGTTTTCAGTTTGTTTGCCTCTCCAGAAAATAAACCATCAAGGCATGTAACAGGATTCACAGTCAACTTTTTACCTACCTCGTTACTTTGCAGAGGCAGTCAATAATTAGCGTTATCTTCCTCCCTAAGTAACTCCTCATAATTGACGCATCATCTGCCTGAACTTAATTCTGACTGAACTCCTGCTACTCTTGTCCACTCTGACAACTGCTGACCCTTGTTCCACTCACTTTTTGTTTAATATTTCTTACTTGCCTTTCTAGAGTTCAAAAATAAAGTGTTAACTTTTAAACTAAAAGTCACAAATGCCAAAAATGTCAATATGAAGGATAGAGAAATCATAACAGAGCAGATAAAAAAGAGGCATTATTAAAGCAATCTGAGTAACTGAAACAGCATCGGGAAAAAAAAAGGCAAAGTGAAGTGAATGCCTTTCTTAAGATTCTTTTGTGATCTCCTGGTCCTTAACAGCAGCACTGCCTTGCAGTCCAACCAAGTTTTTCTAATTATAGCTTATTTAGTAGCTTGCTCTTAAGTAACCCTACCTTAGCAATATTTCTCACATGGACATATCTTCTTCAAGTTCCATGATGCCACTGTGTCACTAAAACTGAGTTCCCTTGGTTTTGAAAACCGTTCTCTGTTCAGAGGATTACACACATCAATAAGGAAAGGGAAGGGAAGGGAAGGTTCCGGGAAGGGAAGGTTCCGGGAAGGGAAGGGAAGGGAAGGGAAGGGAAGGGAAGGGAAGGGAAGGGAAGGTTCCGGGAAGGGAAGGGAAGGGAAGGTTCCGGGAAGGAAAGGAAAGGAAAGGAAAGGAAAGGAAAGGAAAGGAAAGGAAAGGAAAGGAAAGGAAAGGAAAGGAAAGGAAAGGAAAGGAAAGGAAAGGAAAGGAAAGGAAAGGAAAGGAAAGGAAAGGAAAGGAAAGGAAAGGAAAGGAAAGGAAAGGAAGCCAATCTGAAGCTCATTTTCCCAAAACACATAGGCTAAGATGTTTGTTCGGATGCAAAGAAAAACTCTGAAATAAAAATAAGCTTTGATGACTTCATCATTAAAGTTACTGAATTCTGAACTTAACATTTTTCTGTATGGAATGCACATCGCAGTCCACTGTTGTACAGCATACTCATTTGAAAAAAAAAAATCAGTCAATTTATTTGGATTTGGGCTGTTGTTTGTTTGCTTTTTTTGGAAGGAGACTTCAGCTAGAACATACATTGGAGGAATATATCCAATTTTAATCTTGGAGTCGTTGACAAATCTGTACTTTTTAACCAAATACAACACAGCTGTGATACAGACTGTGAATTTAACCATTTTCAGTCTTAATGAACGATGAACACTACTAAGTTTGATTATCTGAAGATATGGAAGAGTTAAACTCCACTTTTGATTTTAGCTGTATATTAGTTAAATATAGTAAGCAATCAAACAACCACTTCCTTACTGTCACAAAATCACAGTTTTTATGTACCAATGCACGCAATTGTGAAGAAAGTTAGGATTTTTAAAAAAAATGAATAATTCCTCTCAACACATTCTCACCTTAAAAGCGTATATACCAGAGCAGCAATGAAAGTGAAACTGAGCACAACTGCCACCAGTACCTGGTCACTTACTCCTTCTATAACTGAATCATTATCTAGCTTCAAACTCTGAACTTCTGCTTGGTGACTGGCCATCACAGCTCTAAAATGCAAAAAAAAAAGATATATATACATATATTAAAATGTATGTGTCATGTCTTGTTATGTGCACAGATATTTTAAACACAGTTACAAACAATATGTAAACAGAATAGTCATTGTTGGGAGAAAAGAGTGGTACAAAAAGAAGGAATGTATCCATTTTTAACAAACACTGAGTTTGCTGTAGAGGTCCTATGCAGTAGCAAACAAATCTTAAATGTGTTATGTGTTATGATTTAAACATTAAAAAAAATAGTCAGATAGTTTACCTTGAAATCTTTATAAGATAAATTGCATAGGAATAGGTCATTACTGAGCTGGCCATATTCTAAGGACTGTCTATTGAAAAAAAAATTTAAAAGACTGCATTACCAAGAATTTTAGCTATTACACACCTCATCATTCCTGGTAGGCTAAGCCAACACAGAAACTTAACTTTCACCCCTTACATGAATGAAGAAACAAGGACATCTTGGATTTAGTGCTAAATGCTCATTGCGATACACAGGAATAACCCAATATTAAACTTCATTTCCGTTTTCTGTGCATTACCAACCTTTAGCTGGAAACATGGGGAAAACTTGAAAGAAAAATAGTATTATCCTTAGTTAGACTCACTTGTTTTACATTTGTTTCACATTTGTAGCCATCAGTGACTAAGGTTAACATTTATTAACCACAGCACTAACCTACAGCTGGAGACGTGAAATAAAATAGTTTCCAACCCACTGCTGAATCATTGCTGTTGCAATCAGGAAGTGAAATGAACTATGGCTATGAATATTACGAAATCAGAACAGTGATACTAACTCTGTCAAATGACATGAGAAGTTACATTGAAGCTCTGTCCATGCACAATTGAAGTATTTCCCATGAAGCTGTCATAAAATCCCACTAATGGTTTCTGAAGGCATCAAGACTGGTATCTTTTTCTGTTTCCTAGTCCAGCTTGCAAGCTTTCATCAATGTTTCACTACACTCCACAGCTCCTGTGTAATTTTTAATTTAAACCTTGCTGTCTAGAAAATATTACCAAACACCCTCTGGCCCTGAATTAATTGCAAAACTGAAATGGAGTACAAGTCATCAGGATTTTAGTGGATACCTGTAATGACTACCCTGACAAAATTTCAGCATGTCAGTCTATTGCTATTAAAAAAGCATAATTTTTCCCTAAGACAGCTACTCTCACTATCCACATTTTTTCTAATATAAGCAGTGGAGCTTTTTTCAAGCTTCCTTACCTTTGTGGCACAGGCCTTCTGTAGCAGGAATACAAGAGAAGTTGATACATTCTAAGAGTATTGTTAAGAAGTGTAAGTGGTATAAGTAAGTACCATAAGACCAGAGCAAACTTGCGGAGAACAAGGGGAGATTTCATTAATTGTTGCATTTTTGGGCTTTCCCTGTGAAAGCTAAAATGGAATAATGAAGCATATAACTTAGCATAATAAACTAAGTTATCCTAAGTGTGCCAACCTGAACTGAGACTACTATTTCTGTAAGTACAGTCAAGTTTTTGCTAATTACAGCTTTCAACAAGCAACTGTGTCACAGTATTTGGAAAGAGTAACTTCTTTCAAAGGTGGAACACCAGTGACTCATAGAAAGGCATGTTTAAAGTAGGTCAGTGTTTACACACGTTTCATATATACTAACAAATGAAAGACCAGATCTTTGTGGAAAGCTCTTACATAGGAACATAGGCCTACACAAGGAGTTAGAGCATTTCTCTGCATAGCTAGTTGCACAATTACATTCCTATAGCTAAAGCCATGAGGTTAAGATGAGAAATTTTTCTGAGCAGTGGTTCCCTGGTGCTGAGGATCTGGACTGGCAGGTGTGCTGTGATGCCTCCCTAACCCAACATTACCTGCCTATATACTTAAGTTCTTTGCATATCCTGTCCTGAAGTAGCTTCTCTTTCTTACACTGCATCATTCTGAGACAGCCATTTTCTACAACTGTGCATGCTAATATCTTCCATTTCTATGTTTTTCCTCCTTAAGTATCATTATCAGTTGACTAATTTTTTACTCTGTCCCACTGTTTTTTTCCGGGTTGACCACTCAGAACAAAATCAGACATAAATGCCAAGGAACTGGTATAATTCCTCCCTTGCTTCACATCAGTTCTGTTAGAATACACCAACATGCCAATGACAACTACATCCCATTAAGTATTACCCAGGGTTTTGGGTTTGGGTTTTTTTTTCAGAAATGCCTATTGTGTCAGAGACATACAGACAATTTACTGTACCTTTGGAAAGCAAGCGCTTCTTATATTAACACCTGAACTTCCTCTGTCACTGCTTGCTTGATGCACTTGGAAAACAACACCAAGATGATCAATATCAAACCAATTTAAATCAGTTTCCCTCAATAGCCTTCAAGACATCTACTCCAGCTCTTCCTTTTCTGTATGTTCCTTGCAACAACACTCCAAATTCTTATCTGCCTACCATCAATAGCATTCACTGCATCTGCTTGCCTTAATTTCTGCTCACTCATATTTCTTGAAATACCAAACTAAGGTGCCAAAGTTAGCATCAGAACATGAAAACAAAATACACAGATCCTCACTTTGTCTTCCTTCTTGCACATAATGCCAGTTACTTATATCTACTTCAGCCCTTCATTTTGAAACGTATATGACTTTCCCAATAACCCTTTTGACATAAGCATAGTGTACAAGAAATATTATTGCACAGTCTTTCTCTCTGCATAAACACCCTGAGACACTTTGTCTTTACTTAGGTATCAATACTGCAAAGACTCTATAGACGAGGAGTGGAATCTGCCTCAGTCTCATTCCCAGCTGCTTCTATCACTGAATTCTAGAGAAGACAAACTATCAATGCTTAATGCCCATGTTGTTCATATTTTAATTTACTTGCTGTTTCTGGACAGCTAACAAGTGCTCTGTATATTTTTCTTATTACTTCCAACACTTTCTCTCAATAAGATCATTGCACAGGAGAGCTGACAAGACTTGTGTAGACTAGGTACTACAAAACAGAGGCTATCACTTCAAAAGAATCAATACATACTTTCTCTGAATTCATGCCTCAGTAGAGACAGTACTAATCTCCTCCTCCTCCTACCTCTAAGATAGCATGTTAAAAATGCAATGTGTACAAAGAAAATGTTAAAATACGCTAATAGAAAAAATGTCTGAAGGAGGAAGGAATTTTGTGAGTTCAAGGCTATTTTGAATGCTTTCAAACAAAACACCCAGAACTGGAGGCTTGCAGTTCATGTTTCTTCAAGCGCAACTACAACAGCCAAAGAGTGATCTGCAGTGGTTTGAATGTATGACAACTTAAAACAGCTTCTAAGAAATCTCACCTCACAGGGCGTGTGTTCAGCAATTGTTGCTCTTTCAGCTGGTGCAACTAAGAAGCAAGCTATAGGACATTTAAATAATGTAATGAAGACACAGTCTTTGGAGACAGCCAGCCTTGATAAAGACCAAGTGTGTGTCAGAGAAACCTTCCAGAACCAGATTTTATTACATATATCTAACCACTCCTAAAATAGTCACTGTTAATAATTTGATGCAATTCAAGAGTGAGTTAGTATGGCTCATACTAAATTCCATCCATTGATTCATTACATTTTTCCAGTTATGAAAAAATGACAGCATTTCATCAACCTTTTCCTCAGATAATTATTTTCAGATCTGGGTTCTACATCACAGGCTTTTCAGACATTAAATTATTTTAAAAGTTTTCTTTCTTTCTTTTCTGTAGGTTACCTTGTTTCTTTCTAAAACTGCAAAGAAGGTTTGAATTATTTTCATTGCTCTGTTTCTATTTTTTAATACAATAAATTAATTCCTGTCTACACTAGGTCTGAGAAAAGTACCAATTGTATAAGATTACTTCAGTGGAAAAAAGGCAGTAATTGAAAATATATTAAATTCGGATAAATGATTTCTGGTTATACTTAAGACTTTTCCACTTTTGAGCCATTTCATAAAGATGGCTTTCTTAAATGCAAGCATAACTGCAGCCTATGAGAGGATGAAAACCAAGCAACATCTAATAATAATCACATCAAAACTGGAATTCATACAACTAACTTCAGAATTTTAAAAATATCAATCACAAACTTAAAAACTGACAGAAATGCTGGGCCTTTTTGCTACTTCAACAGCAACACCACCAAAGCCCAAATCTTAAATTCCAGGTTTATTTAATCTTCAGACTACTGGCACTTGCTTCAAGTAAAACAACACAAAAAAGGGGGAAAAAGACAAGGATTTACTCCTCCATTCGATTTGGGCTAGCTAAGTTACAGCCTGACATTGCATCCCAGTAGACTGGGATCCTGTTCATTTCCATGAGAGTTCTTGATGGCTAGAGAGTATAAACAACCTCAGAGTAAATTCTCCACAAAAGGTTTTGCAATAGAAAGGAATGCAATTTACTGTTTGTAAAATCATACAGTTTTATTTGTAAATCTGTCAGTAATTAATCATCTGTACAGAAAATCATCTTGTTTATTGCAAGTTTTTCTCAGAGTGATCACTGACAGAAGATAACACTAATTTATTTTTTTTTACATTTCAAGAGTCTACAGACCTTTTTCAAGTTACATTTTCCCCTCTGTGGTTATGTATGAACAATGCACGCAGATTTAAGCAAAAAAAAAAGAGAACTATAATGAGCAATACTGCAAGTACAATGGCTTTTATTCTTGGAAATTCATACAGAACACATTGAAGTGTGAGGGAATTAAGACATATACTAGTGTGGATGTATTATTTCTTAATTTTTCAGATCTGAAAAGTATTATTAGTACTTTCAATGTTCAACATAAAGCACTGCTACAACAATACCCTATGCCATGACTCATAAAAACAATCCAGTCTTTACCATGATATGTTAAACAGCTGTCAGCTATCCAAAGTCAGAACTTTTCCCATAGTCTTCTGAAGTATTTGAACTTTTCTGAGTTTATCAGGGAAGCGCCATATGATAATATACTCTTAAAACCACAGAGATTTTTAGGACCCACTACCAAAGGAATGTGCCAGCACAGTGAAAAAGAAATACGAGGCTCTCTTGATGCCTGAGAAGTAAAAAATGAGGTAACACACAAGCAATACTGATGTGAGATACAAGTTATTAACCTTACTCTATTGACTTTGTGAGCATGGTACAATTTGCTCAACATCTGAAAGGTAATTTGGATAACAATGTGTCCTTTATGGGATGGGCTGGGAGTGAACTGGATAAGAAAAACAGAGTTTTGGATTTTCATTTATTTCAGTTTTATTTTGAGTGTTTTTCTCTAGATGCAGTACAGCCACCATCGGTTCTTCAAAAAATTATAAGTTAATTATAAAGTGATGGTGGGCCAGCGTGCAAGCCAGAACCTGTAATTCCTTTTGTCAGTTGCCTTTTATTAGCAAAAGCATCGCTCCCACCCTTTGAAAAAGCTGCTTAATTTGTAGAGGTTGTGTGTTTTCCAGGATAAGTTAATTCATCTCCAAAACTAGTCAAACACCACAAGTCACACTTTCTTAAGAACAAAAAGACTTTAACTCCTCAAAATTTTCTTCTATGTAAGATAAACAAACAAAAAATTGGTTTCATTCTATAAAAAAGTTTCTAAGAAGATTGTCCTGTTTCAGACAATAGAAACCAACTTTTAAGAATTTAAGCATATTAAAATAGAGCAGGCTTATTCTGTAATCTACCCCCTGAACACATATTAGCTTATGTTGAAATATCTATAGGGACAAATTTAGCACATTTTATTTAAGAGAAAAGCAGGCAAAAATTCCCAAAATAAAGACAAACTCTTAAATATAGTGCAAAAATTGAGACCTGTCTCATCAGAAACTATCTAATTACTTCTTGCTCCAGTGCAGTACCAGGTCATGGTCCCTCTCTGTCATTGACAATGGGACTTTGGGAATGGACTTGACTCAGCGAACTGAATCCTACAGTTATTTGTGCATTCTGTCTTTAAGAGTCCAAAGATATGCTCAGACAGCATTCAGAAACAATTAACAACAGCAGGCATGAACTACATCATGAACAGTGGAAGTGTTGAAGACTCTCTGAGTTTACTAGCCTAAATCCTGAGGTGATAGATTTTATCCACATTCCTTGGTGTACTAAAGTCAGGCTTTGAAGAAGCGGTATAGACAAATATAACTTTATAGAACAGAAATAATGGAAATGATTGATGGCATACTCAGAAAAAGTGTTTCTTGAGGAAACAGGATTTATTAGCCTTTCATTTTTGTGAGCACAGTCTTACTTGAATAAAGCTCCAACAACAATCTCTAGTACTAAGTATCCCCCTACACTGTAAAAATCAGTGGGAGAAAATCCAAAGGGCACATTTACTAATGGAAATTAAAAAAAATCTATAATATAGCAACATATAAATTGATGAGATATATATTCTGTGACAAGGCTGTCAAAACTGACTTGAGATTATCCTATTAGAATTTCATGCAGTCTGCTAATGCATCATTATTATGAGTTTGCATCAACTTTGGGTTTACAAATAAGTTCAGCTGGTACAAGAAATACAGCCAAACTCAGCTGTAAAATATTCAGTTACATGCTTACCATGAACCACCTTTGCTTTCAGGACTGTGCTGACTGCATTCAAGTGTATGCATACCCTTTGCAAAAGAGAATGGTAAAGGTCCGAACAGTCTTGCTAAGAGAGGGGAGAGGGCAATTTCAATAGGCAAACAATGATTTTGTTGAGTATATGTTACAAACTGACCAACTGAGACACTTGCCTGATAAAGCAGGTTTCTGCAGGGTATGAGGTCAGCAGTCTCTGAGGCACATTTTTTCCTAAAGAGAAAAAAAACCAAAAGAAGAAAAAAGAAAGTAGATATTCTACTTTTGCTGATGGAATCATGTTTTGCAAATTAAAAGTAATGCAGCTGCAAACAACAGGTGCAAGGCTGTGAGGGAAAATAATCCAAAATTAATATACCATTCTACTAGGAAAACAAAATATCTCAAATAATTTTTCTCCTGAGTCCAAAACCACATGAATGACTTGAAGCAAAAAGACATGCAATGCCCTGTTTAGCATTACTATTCTGAATATCTGTCTGGGCGATGTATGACTTGTGTAAAACAATTCCTAACAAAGTTTTCCACCACTTTGTAAGGCAAAACCATACTGAAAGGTACAGAGTTCTGAACAAACCAGAGGGTGGAACTGAATTCATATGCAGATAGGAGCATGACAAAGAGCCTGCGTATGCCTTCAGCTTGGATACCTGACTTTCCTGGTCAGGCAGGAAGAAAAAGAAAATATTGTCACTTCATTATAATAATGTTTACTGGAATATGGTAGTACTTCACCTAAGCATGAGGAGGCTTCAGATCTCTCTTAGGAAAGGTGCCCAGTGATTCCTTGTTGTAGAAAGCGCTACCTCCATACACAACCTCATAACCAAAACAGACAGCAAGGCAAAAAAGTAATACAGTACTTGTTTGCGTCAACAAAATACAAGCTACACCTCGTGGCAAGGGGCAAAGCAGAGTGGGAAATGAGACACAGAGGAAGATATGATAGAAAAGCTTAAACCATGCAATGTACCTGTGAAAGCTGTCAAAAGTACCAAACATGTTGCTTAAAGCAGACATTAAAACTTGGAATGGAAAGTTGGTAGTTGTGCAGTTCTCTAAAACCTAAAATTCATCCTGAAACTGAAAGTTACCTTTAAATGAAGATAGATTTTGTTTATAACTTATAGAGCAGATTATACAATGAGATCAGTAAGAAAGTACTTTCCTGGGAAAACTTGAAACTTTTCATAGCTCCTACAATACTCTACAGTTCAAAAGAAGCTCACATAAAGGGAGCATTTAGCTTTTCTCCATGTTACTAATTCATTAAATGGAAAAAATGTGAGAAAAGAGGGAAAACAGTGGCAGTTTCCCATCTGTGACCCTTCCTGTTTATACAGCCCTCCACTGTTATCAGAGCTTTGTGCCTGCTCGTCCATGTCATTGCATGCCAGGCTCGTTGTTAACTGATAGGGAACTGCAGAGCTTATCATGATGCCACACACTCTCATTGCAAACTTCAAATAGTCCAAAATCCAACACACTACTGTGTGAGAGAGAAAGAGTTGCTTGAACTCCTCAGGTGACCCATTTGCAGCATGATGGAGAGTTCCTCTGGCTGGGGCACGGCAAGGATGCAGGGGCACCCTGGCCACAGACAGACTCCTTGTTTTTGAGATAAAAAATTAATTAAATCACCTGAAGAATCACACAAAACCAACTAGGCTGGAAAAACCACTGAGATCATCAAGTCCAATCTAAGACTAAACACTTCCCTGTTAACCACACCATGACACCAAGTGTCATGTCCAGTCTTTCCTTGAACACCCATTGGGATGCTGACTCCACCACCTCCACGGGCAGCCCATTTCAATATCTAATCATCCTTCTTCCAAGTCACCACTTGCTACTAGTACTAAGCAAGTAAGTCATAGAATTGTAGAATGTTAAGAGATTGGAAAGAACCTTAAAGATCATCCAGACCCAACATCCCGATGCCACAGACAGGGACACCTCTCACTAGACTAGGTTGCTCAAGTCTTATCCAAACTGGTTTTGAACAGTGCCAGGGGTGGGGCATCCACAACCGCCTTGGACAACTTGTTCCAGCACCTCAACACCCCTGACAGTAAAAAACTCCTTCCTGCTACCTAGCCTAAATTTCCCTTCTTTAAGTTTAAACCCATTACTCCTTGTCACTACAGTTCCTAACAAAGAGTCTCTCTCTGACTTCCCTGCAGACCCCCTTCCGATACTGGTAGGTTGCCTGTTCATTAAATTTACTACAGCAGAGCTTCGTTGAAAAGAAGCTAACAAGTCGTTGTCTTGTCCAGAAACAGAGGAGAACGTCGTCAAGGCTGCTCCATACACAAGCCAAGCCACACTACATACTAAGACTATGATATGTCTGTGAGTGCAGGGTCATTTCCCACTCCAAAAGGAGGAAAACTTTGTAGGGGCTGCTCCAGTCACAAACAGAAGGAAGTCTGCGGGTGAAAGGTCATTTTTCTACTCCAAAAAGAGAGAAAAACCTTGTAGGGGTCACTCCACCCAGAAGTCAAGCCACATTCCACACTAACATGGATAACGCCTGTGGTACACCATCCTCACAAACTCACACTGCCAGCCCCGCCGGACACCCTCCTGAGCAGCTCCTCTGCGCCAAGACACACACACAAACACAAACACACGCACACACACAAACACACGCACATACACACGCGCACGTACACACAGACACACAGACACACAGACACACACACACAGAGCCGGGGGAAGCACTGCACACCCCTCCTACCCGAGGGCCCGGCGGCGTACGAGGTGCCTCGGCAGGCACGCAACGGAGGGACTCGCGTCTCCCGGACCCTCCCCAGAGCCCCCTGGCCGGCTGTGAGGGGCGGACAGCCCAGCCTGGTGCGCTGCGGCCCCGCCCGCGCCCCGCGGTACCTCAGCCGCCGCTCGCCGCCGGCCTCGCGGCCCCGCCCCGTCCCCCCGACGCCGCCGGGTCGCGCCGCGTCCCCCGCCCCGCCCCGCGGCCGCCGGGCGCAGGCGCGCGCGGCCGGTCCGTCAGGGCGCGGTGACGTGTCGGCGCCACCGCCCGGCCCGGGACGGGGCGGGGCGGGACCGGCGGTACCGACCCGGCCGCGGCCCCGCAGTCCCGCCATGTTCAACGTGGAGAGCCTGGAGCGCGCCGAGCTCGGCGAGAGCCTGCTCACCTGGGTGAGTGCGCGCTGCCCGCCCGCACCGAGTTGGGTTGCGGCTCAGGGCCGCGGCGCCGGGCGCCTCCCGCCGCGCCGCGGCTCCGTTCCGGTGATGGAGGCCCCGCGGCCCGCACCCCGGCCGGGCCGGGCCGGGCCAGGCCAGGCCAGGTCGCCGGAGCCCCGGCGGTCCGGCCTTGCTTTGTTTATGTCTTATCTTGGCGCATCGGGGGTGCCTGGGCAGGGCCGTGCTCCGCCTCAACGCTGCCCGTGCAGCGGGGGAACAAAGGCCCGGGGGGCCGGCGCGGGAGCGCCCCCAGGTGCGCCCGGGCTGGGCTGGCGAGCTGCAGGCCGGGGCTCGCGTCCCTCCTATGCCGTCGGTATGTCAGTACTCTGTTGTCCGTACCTGCCTGTCGCCCTCTGACTCGCAAGGCCGCCTTTCTGACCGGAAACTTGCATTTCCGCCTGTTTATTTTTCTCTGTTTTTTAAGCAGAGGTTAAGTCTCGAGAGACAGAATTCACCGATGAGGCCGAGGATTTTACAGTATCAGCCTAAGTGGTGATATATTTATTCCTGGAGGTGTTCAAGGCCAGGTTGGATGGGGCTCTGAGTAACCTGATCTAGCTGAAGGTGTCCCTGCTCATGGCAGGGACATTGAAACCAGATGATTTTCAAGGTTCTTTTCCAGGCCAAACCCTTTTATGGTTCTATGATCTTATGATAAAAATTACTTTATACTACTTTAATGTTTGTAGTTTTTCCCATAAATGTCTTTTGGTTATGCTGTCACTCAAAGAGCAGCCAAAGTATGGTGGACATTAAACCTGGCTTTGCAGCTACCTGTAGTCTGATCAATGACCGTAACACAGACGTGGAACTTAACTTTCTGTAGTAGCTGAGTTATAATTGGTCAGTTGTTTGAAACCTCTGGATTTTGGTTTGAGGCTGGTTTGGATTTTTTCCCTTCTATACTCAAAATTGCCAAGTAAATACCTAGAATATGAAACTCTGCAATACAACTGATTGTTAACTAGAAACAGAAATTTTCAGATATTTTTTTTCTATGAGAAGCCAGAGCTGACTGAAGCTCTGATGGTGATGAGTAAGTTCCTGGGGAATAACAGGTTAGATTTCTCAATGAAAGTCAGAAAGGATGAGCAAGGGAAATAATTTATTGTTAGAGGTGAGCACATGGCCTGGAAAGTATAGAAGATGACAATTTTGGGGAAGAGGTTTTCGGAGAAGTGCTTCACGTAGGTCTGCAATAAGTCACTGAGTTTCACTTTCCTTCACGTTCCTGCCAGCTTTTCCATATTTGTTATGAACAAGTGTTGGCCCCTTATTTTGCTTTGGGCTTTCCATGCTTTCTCTTTCAGGTGTGGGGAATAAAAATCCCAATATGAGTAAGTTGATACGTGTTCATACTGGCAAAGAAAAGTTGAGTGAGAAGCCCAGTCTTTATAATCTGCAGTCCTGAAGCTGTGCGTACCCCGTGCAGCCTGGTCCTGTCTGTAGAAATGGTCCACACACGTGCCTTTACACTTCTCAGATATTGAGCTAATGAGGAGACTAGCTGCATCTCTTTTGGTTAGCAGAAATAAATCATCTTAAACAGCATTTGAATGGATCAGCTTTATTCTGAGATGAATATATGAAGTTACAGGTTATTTTACAGTTTTGTCATTTATGTGGGAATGTGGCTTTGAAACAGATTCAGTAATAAAAAAATGAAGAAAGGTGACTTTATTCCAGCATACATGAAACTTGCAGAAGAGGCAGTGAAGTTTTTTGTTCCTCAGTGAAACTGACTGTGTATAAAGAAGATGCTTTTTTTTGTTTGGCTTTCTCTCAAGTCCCCTAATGATTCTTGGGAAACCGTTCATTTAGATAGGAGGGTAGAGCTGTCTTAATAACAGTGTATGCGCATCTGGGAAGGCCAGTCATTTCCCATTATGCCAGAGAAGCTGGCTGTTTAGAACTGGTTTAGCCTCCCAGGTTGCTTGCTTAACATTCATACAGAAGTACTTAAACTGATTTGTCTGTGTTTTGAATAGATAAGGATTTCTCCAAGTCTGAGAACCTGTTTGGCCTAGAATGACTGTTTGCTCAGATGGATATAGGGTGAGAAGAAAGTGTTCCTCCCTCTACCAACTAATGATTTTCATTAAGGAGAATATCACTTAGGCTTTTTATCCTACATACCTGTGATTTCTCTTCTGCTGTCTTTAAGCTGGAGCAAGCTGCCTACCTCTGAATATGTTTTGGTTTATTTTTTAATATTCTGCCAATATCCATTTTTGTTGTTAGGCTTTGGCTCTAGCTAACTTCTTGTTTATTTTTCACCTCTCTGACAATGCCATCAAATGGCTTCCTAAGTAATTTTTGTTCAGGATTTTAAACAGCTGGGTGAGTTTTGACTTAATACCACTTTAGCAGGTGACCGTGATATTGTTTTGAGACAGCCACAGTAGTGGCAACTTGAGGAAAACTGAACGAAGGACTGGAGTCCAAGTACTGGCCTCTCAAAACTGATATTTGCACTTTGGCAGTGTTAGCAACTTACTATAATTGTAGAATTGTTGCTCTACCAAAAATCTCCCACAAAACTCCCTTTTGAGACTATCCCACACACCATGGGATTGTTGTCCAAGATGCAGTTCAGCCAAGATAGTTTATAAAAATGCAGCTGTGAGGTAAACTGCAATAATACTAAAGTTGTTTCAATGTATCTAACAGAGATTGACAACTTCTTTTTCTGTTTAAAGTTAAGACTGGTTTATATATGAACACATTGGGTTTTGGTGTTTGGTTTGGGTTGTTTTTGTGTGTGTGTAGTGTCAGGAGCACTCTCAACTTAGATACATAGCTGAGGCATTTCATAAAATGTGGAGAGCTGCCAAACATGGCTGTGCCAATTACACTTTAATGTGTATGAAATCATTGTGATAGCTACAGGCTTTTGCTGTGTAACCTGAGAAGTTTTCTTTTCTAGCGTAGAACTAAGATATGATACTGAAAAGATTGCTTAGCATTGGTATGTAAACAAAGAGGCTGCTGTGAAGTGGTTGTAAGTAGTAAGTTGGTGTGGAGATGTCATAAACTTTCTTTCATTGTGATAAATATCTCTTATTTTAGTATGTGCTGCCTCCACCAAACTGCATCTTGCCTGCTTTCTTTCTTTTCCAACCCTCAAGGCCAAACAGAGTTTCTGTTAAAACTTTAGTGATAAGTGAGAACTTTCTGAACATTGCAAGTCTCCCGTTTCAGCATCCTCCACCTTTTAAGCACTTTGATTATTTATATTGACCTTTCTCTCTTTTTGGCTGAAAAATTTCCTCAGTACAGTGTATCTCTGTCTTCTGTGTCATGGCCTATCCCCAACTGTAAGGATTTTTCTGTAGTAGTATGAAGTATAGAGGCCAACTACCTGTGACCAACTACTGAAACAGAGTCCACAGGACGGCTGCTTGCAAATGCTTGATAGGCACTCTAGTCAAAGAGGAATTACTAGGGGAATCTACTGGGAAGGCTGTATTTCCTCGCCATCCAGTTATATTCTTTTTAGATTACACTATTATGCTGTTCTTGATCCTTGTGCATTTGCACTTTTAAGTAATTTTCTGTTTTCTTGTAGATGCCAAGATTGTAGGCAACTTGCTGTCCCTGTTTAAATTGTTTCTTCTTCCACTCCTTGGCCACTGACCACAAAGTTGTAGAGTTTCATTTACTTCTGATAATATAATTGCATCAACATGTCTTACCTCTTGAAAAAAAATATTTTAGGAGAGGTTGATTGTGCTGATGATGACAGGGAATCAAGAAAACTATTCTTTTGAACACAATGTATTGTTGTTCAGAGGGCAAAACCACTTGAGCTTGTCTGCAATTGTGGAATATGGCTTGAGGAACCTTGCAGCCCTTGCAACTAATATGAAAGACCAGTAAGCTGAACAACCTTTTTTTATATTTTATGACCTCTCACTAAGATAGTCAAGAATCTGTTGCTTCAGCTTTTAAAGGGATAGTTGTCTATGACTGTAATATTCTGCGTGTAACATTCATCATGTTTGAAGGAGCTGGAATGTCTAGCACCATTATTAGATGAGTGATTTTTTTTAACATATTGCTGAGAAGTCAGGCAGAAACAGGAATTTCTCTTCAAGATTATATTGAAGAGCAAGTGATGGAAGGCTGATTATATAGGAATATAATAATTAAAGGTAATAGGATATGGTTTGTATATGTTCCCTGCCATCGTCCCCCCAATTTTTAAGTCAGTCTGACTGAACAAAGAATCTGGAGGTGCTGGCATCATTCATCATGCATGCATTTTGACACTGTTAGGTTTTCATTCTTTGGGGCCTTGTCCCACATTCTGCTTTTTTTCCTGTTTTCTCCTTCCTGAAGAGCTGTTCTGTACAGTATATATTTACAGTAAGTTCTCTGAAGAAAAAAGACATTTCCATGGGATTTAGTATGTGCTCAATTTCAGCTTCCAATTCTGCCCCCTCATCTTTTGGTGAGGGGTTGTGAGATGTTGGTGGAAAAGAAACAGACTTTGCTGCTGGGAACTATGAACCTTAGAGAGTGTAAAGGAAACAAGTTTTCTGTTAGCTTGTTAATCTCAAAGTGGGAGGTGTGGAGAGAAATCTGTTTCTGTCTTCTCTGAAATACAGAATGTTTTAAAGAGATTAAGTTAAACTGTGAATTTTGCACAACTCTCTGTCTTAATTGTGATATTTTGGGGCTTGTAAACGTTGAGATTATCTTCTGTCCTTCTGCTCTTCATGGACGCT